GTGACTCTCTGTGACTCTCTGTGACTCTCTGTGACTCTCTGTGACTCATAATGACAAATGTCACAATGCATTTATTGCTCATTTCTGTTGAATAAACTGTATTGTGGAAAGGGAGAATGCGTTTAATGCTAAGCAAACTGATAGAATTGTGAAAAGAGGTCTGTAATGTAAGAAAAAAGATGTCAATCATGGTTTAATTTTACTAAATTCAGTAGATAACATTGAAAATCCAAACCCAAAAAAAATTTTCAGTTCAGGATTGGAAATTTGTAATGTAATCAAATCTGGACCTGAAAATCTGTGGTGTTAATTATCTTTGCTTTGCTTTTGTTTTAGGTGAGCTGACAAGATGTGGAGCAGCAAATCTAATAAAGCATCAGTGCTAAATCAGAGACTGATGCAGAGTCCGAGTACGAGGCAAGGTATAGTGGTGCTGATTTACAAACTCAATTTAGATGCAGTGCCTTCACTTCTCCAAATTGTTGTTGTGGTGATCATGGGGTCCAGTCATCAATAAAGTGTAGCAGAATAGAGATCATTTGATCCTATGGCCAAAGAACTCTTATAAAGAGAGAAATATTTACATCTATATAGAGAGTTTTGTGGTTATGAGACATCTCAAAATGTCTCACTGCCAGTGAATGTATTTTTGAATTATGGTCATTGTTTCAAGGTAGGTATTATGATGTAGTAGCCCCAATTGTTATGACATAATGCCCAGTTCATTTTAGTACTGGATAATCGATCCTAATAAAAACTTGGTTGAATATACAGCACAAAAACCGAAAAAAAAAAAAAAAAAGGCTGGAAATCAGAAACAAAAACAGAAATTGCTGGAAAGGCTGAGCAGGTCTGGCAGCATCTGTGCAGAGAAATCAGAGTTAACGTTTTGGGTTCAATGGCCCTTCCTCAGAACATTGAAACATTAACTCTGATTTTTCTCCCCAGATGCTGCCAGACCTGCTCAGCCTTTCCAGCAATTTCTGATTTCCAGCAGTGTTTCTTATTCAGTTTTCGTGCTGTATGTTCAACCAAGTTTTTGTTGGAGATCTGATTATCCAATACTAAAATAAACTGGGTATTATGTCATAACAGTTGGGACCACTGCATCATAATACCTACCTTGAAACAATGTATTTTTGCATTATGGTCATTGTTTCAAGGTAGGTATTATGATACACTATGATGACCTACTGACCCTTTCCAGCAATTTCTGTTTTTCAACATACAGCCCCTATGGGACCAGGAATGCCGGTTGATCAAATAATCCAACAGCTATCAGGTCCATGTAATCAATGTAAAAACATGCTGAGTAATAGAAACGTAATGCAGGGCTATACACATCACTGTTATACTTTTTTTGCAGCATAAATCACTGAAATAATAATGCAACTTTGCATTAAACAAAACTTACTGGCAGCAAGTCTTCTCACTTGCCCTCTCAACTGACTACTCGATCATTGTGGAGATCACAATAATACAGTAAACTTCAGGTATTTCAGTATATAATTGTTGGTTTATCAAGAGTCCTAGTTCATCAGGTGTCAGTTAAAATAAAGTTTGCAGTCCCATGATTCTTTTTGGCTACCTAGTTGAACTTGTACCAACACATGTTGCAGTTCCCTATCGGCATTACACAATTCACTAGTGTGATGGAATACTTTTCACTTGCCTGGATGAGTGCAGATCTAGCAATACTGAAGAAGCTTGACTTCATCTGGGACAGAACAGCCGAGAGCTAGCACCATGTTCACACATATTCACTTACTCCACCTTCAACACTCGGCACCATTCATAATACACCACAGATGTTGTCTAAGGCTCATAGGACAGCACTTTCCAAAACCACTTACTTTGAAGGGCAAAGGCAGCAGATATATAAGAGCACCATCACCACGAGCAAGTTGTTCTCCAAACTGCATCCTATTTGTGATCAGAAATATATCACAGCTTCTTCAGGGTTGCTGGTTGGAAATCCTGCAGCTCCCTCCCTAATGGCATTTTGGGCCGACCTGCAACAAATGGACTGCAGGGTTTCAAGTAGGTCGTTCACCATATCTTTTCCAGGGCATCTAGGGATGGGCAATAAATGCTGGACCAACCAGAAACACTCTCACTATGAATAAATAAGTATATTTCTATTGTAAAGAAACATTCCAAAGCTGGACCTATTGTAGAGTCATTGCGATCTACAGCACGTAAAAGGACTCTTCAGCCCATTAAGTCTTTTGCTGGTTTCCTCCTACAGTCCAAAGATGTGAATTGGCCATGCTAAATTGCCCATAGTGTTCAAGAATGTGTGGATTAGGTGTGTTTGCCGTAGAAATGCAGGGTTACAGGGAAAAGGGTAGGGGGATAGATCTGGGTGAGATGCTTTTCGGAGCATCGGTGTAGACTTATTGGGCCAAATGGCCTGTTTCCACATTGTAGGGATTCTATGATTTATGAACTATTTTTTTGATTCAATTTTCAAGCACTTGGTCCATTGCCTTGTGCATTTTGGCATCTTGGTTGTACGTCTAAATACTAATTAAATGTTACAAGGGTTTCTGCCTCTACCACTCTTTTACAGGCAGAGTTCCAGATTCCTATCACTCCCTGGGTGAAAACATTTTCCCTCCTATGTACTCTGAGCTTCCTTTTGGTCATTATGAGAAGTGTATGTTTGATGGATAGGCCACTAACCTCCTACACCTTGCATACTTCCAACGCGGTGACACCTTTTGTGATATTTAAACCTGCAGCTATGTCAAAAATTTTTTTGTGCAGCTTGACAAACTTGAAATGAAACAGAAATTGCTTGACCAGAAACACTTTTCTGTCCACAGATGCTGTCAGACTTGTTGACTTTTCCCAACAATTGCTATGTTTTTCTTTCTCTGATTTTCCCCCCATCTGTAGTCCTTTAGTTTTAACAAACTGGAACCTGTGCTCAAACTTACCATTGAAGTGGAACAATCAAACAAGCTCCCTTTTACCTGATTTGTTAGTTGAGAAATCTGCAACTGTATTCTCTGCTACTATCCACTGAAAGTATGTGTTCACAGGTCAATTATATGGGTTAGAATTTCCACAGCCTGCACAGTACAAGATCACCTTGATGGGAACCTTGTCAATAGGCCCATACTTAATGCTGAGATAGGACATATCAAAACTCGCTGCATCAAAATGACTGTCCTGATCAAATCATCACTCGCTGGACATCACAAAAACACATGGAAGGACCTATGTCCATAACTTTGGCCCTGAATAGTGTCCAAACTACCTTGGATTACCCGGTTTGGGGAAGGTGTTGCAAAAATTTGAACAACACAGACAAAACTAGCAGTCTCTCATTGCTACTTCGCAGTAAACCCATAATTGGTTTTCATGACTGACAGGATGCTACCATCAAGCCAAAAAGATCTTTGCCGACCATGGCAAAGGTGTAATGTGATATGAGTTTCAGTGCCAGTGTAATGCCAGGTATGCAGGTCTGTGGACAATGACTGTATCAAATAAAGCATCCCATTGACCATGCATAGTGGGCACCATGCCGATCGTGCTCAACCAGGTTGTGCTTGCATGCCTTGTAACAGAATGCCCATCATTAGACGTTATTCGACATTTAAATAATCCAGACCGCGCTGATAAATAACAATTTAAATAAATTTAAGATTCAGTTGGGCTTACAATGTGAATGATTTGTACACACTAGAAGCTACATATATTAATAAATAAGACCTGTTTATGTAGGCTAATGGAATTCATACTATTATTGCACCATTTTACATTGCAGAAGGGAAAGTGGTCCTGGAAACTGCCAATCTTTGCTGCATTCCCATTGCAACGCTGACCAAGTCAGTGTTGACTTGTCCGGTCTCAGAACTAAGATTTGACAGCTAACTGTTCTTACTGCATCTGCATGAAAACAATGGCTCAACCAATCAATCCTAATTTCTCATGTATAAATTGGTGTCCCTATTTCTCTTTTCATTTTTTTATAGTTCATTTTTTGTTCTCGTTCTGAAGAATAAAATATGGAATACTTCAACTTCTTGTTATCTTTTAGCAAAATTTAAGTTTGTAAAGTGTTTAAATGGTAAAGAAATCTTTGAGACATCAGATAATAAATCCTAGCATCAGTTTAGTCAACACTACAAAATTTTACAAATTATATGTCGTATTTTTGATGTCAAGTCTATGCTGAATTGAGTTGAGTAGAGAACGCAGTGTTCTGCATTTCAGAGTGCAAGACATGCTAGCCTGTTTTTCTTTAGTATATGTAGGAGTACTGTCGCTGAATAATAGTTATTGAGCAATGAAACAGTTGTCACATCTTGAAAGATTGAGGGCCACGAGAGCATTGCAGAAGATGTTTTATTCTGGATCTTAACAGGCTTGATCTGATCTAGGAGCACTTGTTGATTGGTATTCCCCTTGAACAGTACCAATTTCACTCCCCTCATTTGACATAACGTTCAACAAGAGAATGTTGTTGAATGCTTTAATACTAAAACCAAAGGCTTGTAAAAGCAATTGGCAGGCCTAAATTGCCCTAGGAGCTCAGGTTTGAAGCTTAGGCTAAAGCAATTCAGAAGTTGGTCATCTTTGTAGTTTTGGTTGTTATTGCTGATCAAATGTAGATGCCCAGATTCCGATGAAAGCTCTACACTCAGCTCTCCAGCTCAGGTGAGCCCGACTTGCAATGGTGCAGCTGACAGAACAGATTCCTTCTAAATAACATTGCATTTAGTCTATAAATTTACTGACCTATTTCAAGGTAGAAATATCCAGTCACATGCAGTTATTTATGTAAAAATGGAATTCAGCCTTGAAATTAAAAGAGGCAAGAATGGGAAGATGTAGGAGTTCACGATTACTGTGTAATTGCAAAATGTTTGGTTAGAATTTGTGAAATGCTTGAAATGTAGTGGCTGAAACTCATTGCCTCTTGTGCTTTAGATTTGGCCTCAGCATGGGATACAGTCAACAAGACCAAAGCTGCTGTGAGTATGTCAAAAAGTTATATTTGTTGTGATTCATGGTGTCAGTTATTTGAATGGGACGGGTGTCCAGCATATTTATTCAGACTTTGTTTTGCGTTGTACTTGAGGCTTCTAAGAAGTAGGTTTCGTATAACTGTTATTGCATAAGAATTTCCCTATTATTTGTTAAAAGGCCACTTCAAAGGTTATTACTGAAAGTAAAAGCTCATGTAGATTGGTTGGCAAACAGAAAGCAGAGAGCAGGCATATTGGGTCTTTTTCAGGTTGGCAGAATGTAACAAGTGGTGTGCCAAAGAGCTCGGTGCTGCATCCTCAACTGCTTACGATTTATAAAATGACTTAGATGAAGGGATGGAAGAGGAGTTGCCAAATTTGTTTGGAACACAGAAGTAGAAAAGTAAGTTGTGAAGCAAACATGAGGTTGCAAAAAGATACAAATAGTCTGGGCAAAGATCTGACAGTATAAAGTGGGAAAATGTGAAATCCTTCATTTTGGCAAGAAGGATATAAAAGCATATTATCTAAGTAGCAGGGAATTACTGTGCTATGAGAAAGAGGGATGTGAATGTCCTGGTGCATGATTTACAAATGGTTTGAATGCAGGGATAGCAAGTAATTGAGAAAGCTGATAGAATGTTTTAATTTATTGTGAGGAAAATTGAACACTAGTCAAGTTTTATGCCTCAATCATACAGGTCATTGGTGAAATCCTGTCCAGAGTGCTGTGCATAGCATTGGTCGCCTTATTTAAGGAAGGAAATAAATATATTGAAAGCAGTGCAGAAAAGGTTTACCAGACCTGCAGTATAGTGTTGACTTATGAAGCAAGGTTGCATAGGATAGGCTTGTATTGCTGGAGTTTAGGTAAGTAAGAAGTGACCTGACTGAGGAGTCTTGACAGGACAGATGTAGAGAGGATGGTTCTACTTAGGCGGGGCATCTAGGACTAGGCGTTCACTGTTTAAAAGTGAGAGGTTGCCAGTTTAAAATAAAGATTGGCTACATTGTTTTTCTGAGGGTCATAAATATTTTGGAGCTCACTTCCTGTAAAGGCAGTGGAAGCAGAGTCCTTGAATATTTTCAGTTCCATGGTTGGATGCATTCATGTAAAGAGGGAATAAAAGGTTATCCGGAGTAGGAGGGAATGAGTATTTGGGTTACAATTACGACAGCCATGATCTCATTAAATGGTGGAGCAGGTCCTAAGGACTGTCGCTGATTCTTCTTGTGTAGTTTCCACTTGCTGACTTCCCTTAATTCCATGCTCTACACTTCTACACATTCTAGCCACTGCATCATAGTTCTGCTCACTTACCACTCTCTTGTTACTTGCTTTCATTCTCTGCCTTATCCCAGTCCTTCAGTTTCAAAATTCCTATGTACAGATTTGTTTGTAGTTCCCATTTTCTTTTCCAACTCTTTTCTGCCTCCTGTCGTCTCCACATGCCATGTGTCATTCTCTGTCCCCTGAGCATTTTGGATCCATACTTGCCAATCTCACCCTGACTTTTTCCTGCTTGTTACCTTCCAATCTCCCTCAAAATATATCTGTTTGACTCCCCTGCATGTTTCCCAATTCCCCTTTGATTCCTGCTTGGGTCTATCATAGGAATTTCTGCTGCAGAAAATGTACTGTTTTAACTTGCATTGTTGTGTTTGATTCATTGTTTATTGTTCTTTCATCCTGAAGTTGCGCCACATAGAAAACAGGCTCGAAGCTGTACCCACCACCACTGCAGTGATTGACACGGTGATGGATACTAAGAAAACTTTGAGCAGTGCTACTAGAAAAATCAGTAGGAGGGGTAAGTGGAATGAAAATGAAATGAATTTTACATGGTAAGTAGGTCAACATTCGTTGCTAACGTCATGCTGGCCACTATTGATCAGCGCTTCAGACAGAAGTAACAAACTTGTCGAAAGTAAGTTAAATGGTTGAGTGGCATGCACTGATTTTTTTAGTGTTTTATTAGTATTTGTGACAGAGACTGGGGCTATGGAATCTTTTCCTTCTGTAATTTGTGGAGCTTCTTTGGTAGGCCTAGCAGGCAAAGTCAGCCCTCCATTCCCTGACTGAAGTGGCTATCCATTCCTTCCATTTCTGTGAACCACCTGTTCCCTGTTGCCATTGTCCCCCCGAATGTCTGGTTTATTGCCTGGTGTTGGTCCACAGAATTTGAGGAGGTGAGGGAGGAGAAGAATGAACTTACCACCTGTTTCTTCCATGATCTGACAGCAACCTTGAAAGAAACTTGTGCATACTAACCAATCCCGTTAATAGTGATAGTAGAATGCACACTCCTTTTAGTTTTTAAACTTTGTTTCTATTTCTGTCAGATGGAAGGTACCTGGAGGATTCTATAGCCAGTGCTACATCTGCCAAGTCCAGTAGTCGCAGCAAATCACGGAAGGACAAAACGTCCCGCAGCCCCTTGCGATCTACCACTCTGGAAAGCAACATTAAGAAGGGCAGTCGAGTTGAATTCAGAGATCCGCTAACTGCATATAGGTAATCCCAGGCATATGTACTTTGTCAGTCATTTTCTGTTATCAGTTCCTCCAGTCATGTGTATATATTGGAAACAACCAATATACACTTGATAGGTTATAGTTGCGCTGTCCTGACATTAAAAACACTACAGAGTCAACAGTGGTAGGATAGATATAGTGTTCCAGACTTATGAAAGCTTGTTCTAACACACACAATCTCATCCAAGGATGTAATTTTAAAGATCTTACAAACAAACATCTTCTGTACTTATGGCTATTTTATATTGTACTGCATTGTGTTCCAACTTGTGCACAGATTGACTTACAGATGGACTGTAGAACAGAAACCATTCGTAACCTGGGGTCTGTCAGTAGCCTGAGGCAGTTTCCATTAGAAACATAGGCACAATTTTAAAGGTGGAATAATGATAATAGAATATGAGACTGCAATAATCCTGTCCTGTGACCCACCTCAGTTGGATTTTATTTGGTCTTTATTCTATGTTCACTGCTCTGAGAACCCAACTATTAGTGGAGATACATTAGTAAAGCTCAGTCTTGTGCAGTATTTAGATCATTGATCAGCTCATCAGAACCATCAAGCTTTTATAAATAGGGGTTGGGGTACAAAAAGCAAATGATGTTAAACCATCATAAATCATTTGGTTAAGCTGCATTTAGGATGTTGTACCCAATGTTGGGAAACCTTGTTCGGGAAGGACTTCAAGGCCGTGCCCAGGAACCAGAAAGTGTTAACTTGATGTTCGTTCATTATAGTAATCCAGAGAGATCAGATTAAATTGCTGTTCATTTTGTTCCATCTGACTGAACAATAGTTCAGAGGAGATCTCAAAAATGGCCAGGAATTTGGAAGAACTGTTTCTACTGATGGAAGAGATACTAAGTAGAGGGTAAATACAAGGTAAAATTATGGAAGTCAGGAAATTAACGAAGTTACAGACTTACAAGTTTTATTTCAAGGGGAAGCAATCGCCCAGTAGTATTATTGCTACGCTATTAATCCAGAAACTCGGATAAAGTTCTGGGGACCCCAGCAGGTTTGAATCCCACTATTGCAGTTGGTGGAATTTTAATTCAGTAAAAGAAATCTAGAATTAAGAATCTACTGTCCGTGAAACCATTGTTGATGATTTTGAAACATATCTGACTCATTAATGTCCTTCAGGGAAGGAAATCAGTTGTCTTCACTTGATCTGGCCTATATGTGACCCAGACCATAGCAATATGGTTGACTCATAACCACCCTATGAAATAGCCAAGCAAGCTGCTCAGTCAAAAGTCATCAAAAAGTTGCAAAAACGAAATGAAAATGGACATTGACCTAGGCAGTGGAAACGACAATGGCAAAAAACAGCCCCTGTTGACCCTGCAAAGTCCTCCTTACTAACATTTGGGTTTACTGTCAAAATTGGACCGCTGCCTCAAAACTAGTCAATAAACAACCTGACAGCCACACTTGCGAAACAGAGCTTACAGATAGTATCCCAGAAACCATTGTCAGCATCCCACTGTATGCTCTGTTCCATTGGGAGTACAGATCCAGCAGATGTGACAGCACAGTGGTAGATAGTCAGGAGGGATTGACTCGAAGTGTCCTCAGCATTGACTTCGGATTAAATGTGGGCAAGGAAACCTCCTGATTACCACGTATTGTCCTTCCTCAGCTGATAAATCGGTACTCTTCCATGTTGAACAACACTTGGAGGAAGTACCTAGGGTAACAAGGGCGTAAAATGTAATCTAGGCAGGGGATTTCAATGTCCTCCACCAAGAGTGGCTTGACAGCAACACTACGGATTGAGCCAGCCAGTTCCTGAAGGACATGTCGCAGATTCAGTCTAGCAGCTATGTGGTGAAGAAACCAATAAGAGCAAAAAACATTCTTGATCTCATACTTACCATGAGGCTGCAGATATATCTGTCTATGATAGAATCAGTAAGAGTGACCACCACACAGTACTTGTGAAGACAAAGTCTCGCTTACACATTGAGAATAATCTTCATCCTGTTGTGTGACACGGTCACTATGCTAAATGTGACAGACTTCAAACCGATCTAGCAACTCAAGGCTGGGGATCCATGCTAAGCTCTGTATTCCTGCCAGATTCAGTTGTGAATGGTGCTGGATGGTTAAACAGCTCACTGCAGGAGGAACTTCTGCAAATATCACCATTGACAATTATGGAAGAACGGTGATATCAGTGCAAAAGATAAGGCTGAAGCATTCACAGTAATCTTTAGCCAGAAGTGCTGAGTAATGATCCATCTCTGCCTCCTCCAGTGGTCCTCCGCATCAGCGATACCAGTCTTCAGCCAATTCAATTCACTCCACTTGATATCTAGAAATGGTTGGAGGCACTGGATACTGCAAAGGCAATGAACCCTGTCAATATTCTGGCAATAGGGTTGAAAAAGGAGTTGAATAAGTACTTTGTTAAAAAAAAGAGAAATTTTAAAGAACATGGGAGATTGTAACAAATGAGATTTTCTTGAGAGCCCGCATGTACAGTGGCCTGAATGGCTGGCTGTATTTGTGGCCATTGGTTTTCTAATGCTGTAACCTGAAGTGCTATGCCTATCCCCATCTTGATAGGCATGCACATATGGTTTTACGTGGGCATGTTATTTTTATCTGCATAGTTTGTCCTTTTCAATCTCCAACTAGGTTTTTGGAATGTCTAGTGACTCAGGCAGAGCCATGAACTGATCTGTGAAAAGTGTCTCACTAATGGGGGCAAGTGTTGCTATAAATCCATTATGTGCCTTAATTCACTGATTATAATAATACATGCTGAAACTTTGGTTTGTAATACAGATTAACTGTTCCCAAGCCCAAACTCATGCAGTCTAACGTGATAAAATTCAGCTATGTCCTGGAATGGTTATGTTGGCTGAAAGTTTTTGGACAGAAACCTTTTGTTGAAGTGAAACATTGATTCAGTTTTTTGTTGTTTTTAGGTAGTACATTTTGACTGCAAACTGCCCAGGGTAATTGTTGTAATACACTGACTCCTTGCAGTGGGAACAGATGTCAGCCTAATGTGTCTGCTTGGAACATGCAAATTACTTTGGCTGGGATAAGGGTATAAATTCAGAACAGAAATAAACCATTTCTGGCAGTGAAGGTCACTGTGCTTTTGCCAGCTTCTCTCTTCCTCTTCTGATGGTGCTGACTCCTAAGGTTATCCAATTTCATAGCCACTGAATGCCATTTGGCACCTTGTCCAATTTACCAGTTCTTAATGTGTAATCTGTGAAAGTGAGGCTGGCAACTCCGATTTTGATACTTCTGTTGCTGCCTTGATTGAGATGAAGAGCTAGCAAAAGCAAGTAACTGAAAGGTTGAATGTTGTATTGGCACTGTCCCTACCTCTGGGTGTCATAACGCATCCAAATGGGTTAATTTGGAAAAAAAGACTTAACAGAGCTTGGCCTTTTTGTTGTCTGTGTAAACTGAACTAATCAAGCCATGTCCTAGAGACTGTCATTTCATATTTATCTTAAGAATGCTCCCAGGAAGTGCTGTGAAATCCTGCCACTGAGACTTGGTGATCTTCCCGATCATTCTTGGTTTTAAATAGTTCAATTTTTTTCCTTATTACAAAAGCAAAATATTGTACATGCTGCAACTCTGAAATGAAAACATAAAATACACTTTAAAATGTGTTAGCACTGGAAACATTTTGAGATCTGGTAAAAGGTCAGTGATATTAATAATAGTAACTGTTTTTCTCTCCACAGATACTGCCAGAGTCTGAATATTCCTAGCATCTTCTGTTTTCATTTCACTTGTTTTCTTTCCTGGCTGAAAGAGAGAGGCTCTGATTTGTCATGCTACCCTAGTCCCTCTTGTTTAAGTAACACTGGTATTTTGTTCAGTCTGCTTCTTATCGTTCTGACACTGAGGCACATTGCATGGCATTTCATTGAGGGTGATGGTATGCTGTCAGTTTTCGTCTGTCTTCCTTGCATGTCTTGTCATAATTTTGAGTGAATAACAGTTGTATTTTGTTAAAATAATTGTGAAGGGACCAGTCCTTTAAATTCACCGTGTAGTAGAGTACTGAACTGCACTGGACATTAATGTTTTTGATCTCTGGTCATTTGTTAGTTGAACCCTGCTGGAACCGAGTTGGGTTAAGTCCTATGACTGACTTCAGTGTCCATATGCTGAAGGTGGTTAGCAAGATGGAACAAACCGTATCATCCATATGGTCCCTCAGCACTTTCCAATGGTTTAAGCTGTGGCAGTGGAGGGTCCAAGTACTGAACAGTCTGGTAATGCTCCATGCCTTTTACAGAAAGCATTTGTTAAGTGAGATGCTGGTAGGTTGCTGTTGCCAATGGAACTGTGCCCTGAGCTTAGTCCAAGTTGGGAAGAGGAAAGAGAGAAAACAATCTGAAAGTTGGGGGAGTGGGGAGGAATCATTTTGGAGTGAGCAGATTGTTTCTCTAATGTAAGAATTTACATTTGTAGAACCATAGAAAGGTTATGGCTCAGATAGAGGCCATTCAGTCCACTGTGTCTGCACCAGCTGTCTATTCTAATCCCACCTTCCAGCATCTAGTGGTGAAGATCCAAGTACTTTTTAACTGAGTTAAGAGTTTCTGCCTCCACCACCCCAGGGCAGTGAGTTGTAGACACCACCGTTCTCTGCATGAAAATGTTTTTCTTTGTGTTCCTTCTAATCTAACCATCAAACATCTTAAATCTATGCCCTCTGGTAATTGACTTCTGTGCTAGACAGTCTTTTTATCTACTGAATCTCTTCCCCCTCATAATTTTGTACATCTCTGTTAGGTAATCCCTCGTCATTCTCTGTTCTAAGAAAAACAACCCTAACATTTCAAACCTTTCCTCGTGGCTACAGTTTTCAAGCTCTGGCAGCATACTTGTAAACCTCCTCAGTACTCTCTTGAGCAGTCCTTCCTGTAAGAGGATGTTTCATTTTCTTCAAATATCCTAAAGTCCTTCACAGCCAATGATTTAATTTTCTTATATTGTCACTGTTACTTTGGGAAATGTCAGTTATTTATATTCCTGCTGTTCTTGGTCAGTATTCAAAAGTGATTTATGTAAGACTTTTCTCAAATAGTCTTCATAATTTTCAGTACCACAAAGTAGATATGAGGATGAGCAGTACTAACTGGCCTGTCTTGTTATCAGGGAAGTGGATGTCAGAGTACCATCTTATCTGACTGCTAGCCAGCTGGAAGCTCAGCGTCTCCTTTCTGAACGTAACTCCAGTGAAGTGCGAGGGAAGGAGCGTGAAGTCAGCCGCATGATATATGAGCGAGACAATCGAAATTATCACTGTCTGGACAATGAGAGTACGTGCTCGACTGCAATAGATGACACTGAGGTGAAGTATCTCAATGACCACTCAGCACTTGATGGCCTGCACAGCTCCGACGCACTTTACAAACCTCTTGGCCGAGGTTCCCTGGGACAGAAAGGTGGCACTGAGAAAGGTCCCCATGTTAAGCTAGTGAGCTGCGAGTCGGATACAAAGAGCGACCGGCCTTCTGAGCAGTCCCAGTTGTCCTCCCCAAGTTCCACTTCTGAGTCAGTGATGCAGAAACTGGAGATGATGCGCAGAAAGCAGCACGATGACAAGCTCGAGAAGCTGAAGGAACGGATCAGGAAACAGCGAGAGCACTCTGATGAATCTATTGAGAGGGATCGACTACTGAACCTCTGCGAGCTGCCTGCAGTGCCTGCAATAGATACCACAATTTCCACTGCCAAAGTGAGAAAGGTTGCTGCAGCACCACCTGCTCCATCGTACAAAGGTAAGCCTGTTGGGTGTGAGCTCGGTGTCCTTTTCCCTTTTTCATTAATTTTTGGCAAATCCATTCCTTCCAGCAGCCAACGTGTCCTAGGTTTTTTCTGTTAGAGGAATTGGGGCAGGGTTGGGGTGGGGTTGTCACCTGTAAAGGAAAGCCTTTCTTTATTTAGTGTCTTTCACAATCTCCAAAGGATCCTAAGCACTTGAAGGCCTTTGAAGCATTGTTGCAATGTAGGAAGAGTGCCCAGCACAGCAAGCCCCCTCAAATTGCAATGTGGTAATGACTAATTCAGTCTGCCCAGTCCTGTCAGAAATGTAGGTAACAAAACAGAAATTGCTGGAAAAGTTCAGCAGGCCTGGCAGCGTCTGTGAAGGAAAAAAGAGTTGACGTTTCGGGCGCGGTGACCCTTCCTCAGAAATGTATGCACTTCAATGAGATCTGCTCTGATGCTTCTAAACTCCAATGAATATAGACCCAGTTGACAGGTTTGTCAGACCAGGAATCAGTCTGGTGAATCTTTACACCACTCCTTCTTTGGCAAATTCATTGCCTTGGGTAAAGAGACCAAAACTGCATGCAATACTCCAGGTGTAGTCTCCTCAAGGCCTTGCACAGTTGTATTAAGACCTCCTTGTTCCTATAATCAGACCCTCATGCAATGAAAACCAACATTCTAGATGCCTTCCTAACAGCTTTCTGCACTTGCATGTTTGCTGTCAGTGACAGGTGTTCAAGAACACCCAGGTCCCTATTGTACTAGTACTATCCTTCATTTTATTTGTTAGCCATGGTTAGGCCACTTTTCCTGTTTTGCTCTTATGCTCAAAAACTATGCTTTTTTTAAATTGAATGTTTTTAGTGTTTTGTTTTAATTAAATTGATTATGGAGTTGTATTAGCCTTCCATCTAAAAGGGAGATGCTTTCATCTTAGTTTTTCCTGACAAACATGTCTTTCATTTTTAAAGTTGTTTCAGGCCTAATTATAGATGGAATATATTACTACAGGAAGAGTATATTTTATTATTCAGTATTCTGATGTCTAGGTTCCTTATTTTTATTCCAGGTTTCAACCCGATGGAGACCAAAATCCGAACACCAGATGGCAAAGTGTGGCGTGAGGATGAATTGCACCGGGATTTCACGCTCCAGTTAACAGGTAAAGACCATTATCTCTGCTTCAGACTATAGGGAAGGGAGTGAACCAGCCAATCCCCGAAGGCTGCTTTTGCTATTCTATCAGGTCATGACTGATATGTATCTCACCTTATTTTCCCACCTTACCTAGTGGGTATCGATTGATTTTAGTCTGGATGATTCTAAGTGGCACTCAGAATCAGCAGTGTTTTGAGAGGAGAATTCCAGATTCTGCTTTCCTTCTGTCTGTTAAAAAGTGCTTCCTGATATCACTTCTAAATGATATGTCACTAACTTTAATATTCTGAATAGTAATTGACAGGCGATATTTGAATGTTTAGTGTGCTGTGTTGCATACTTTGTACTTGTTAAATTCTTAATGCATATTAAGATGGTGGTCCATACGTCGTTTGACTGTTGTTCATTTTGAACAAAATGACTGACTTCTGAGTGAATTCAAGCCAAAGGAACAGTGTTGAACATATTGACTGCAAGAGATGATGTGATCTTGGCATGGTGTCTAAAGTACATTAATTTGAGTCAGAGCTCAGCACCAATATAGATTGTGAAGCAGATAGGGTGTTATATTTTGTAGCCTTGATGATGGAAAAGAAATGAGACCTAAACAAAAGGAATCTAGTTATAGAACTGGTGTGGAATAGCCTTCTCTGCTACTGGATGTCTTGAGATCGTTCAGCTAATCAGGAAAAATTACATGGGTGGATATTATTAAGTTAACATGTAGAATACTTTTCTTCAGCGCAGGCTGCTGTGCATGTGTTGTTGGACTTTGTGTCCTGTATCTGATTACAACATCTTCTAGTTATGGTGTGCCTTTTAAGGACTAAAACATCCCAAGCACTTCACAGGCAATAAGACAAAATTTGTTAAGGACTAAACAGCATTGCCAGAACAAGTTGGCCATTCAAAGAAGCTTTAATGGAGCCTCATAATGAGACAGAAGGGAAGAGGTTGAAGGAGGGCGTTGGGGCCAGATGTAGCTGAAGACACAAGTATAGTGTGTCTATTTTTGAGGGTGCGGAGTGTAAGGTAGTTGGAAGAATGGAAATTAGTGTTTGGCAAAATGTTGAATTGAAGAAGCACTTTAGCCACCATGCCAAGATCACATCATCTATTGCAGTCAATATGTTCAACATTGTTCCTTTGGTTTGAATTCATTCAAGCCAGTTTTCTAGGAGGGGCAGAGTGAGATTACAGTGGAGTTTGAACGAACATGCAGATGAAAATCTTAAAGTTGACATTCCTGGACATGGAACTTAAAGGTGATGAGCAAACAGAAATTGGTGAGAGTTGGATTGCGAACAAAAGAACCTTTTTGAGCTCAAGTTTTAAGGAACGTGGAATTTGGAAGAAACTGGCTTCACTATGTTCAGTTGCTGTGCCAGCCTTGGTGCTCATCAATTTTATTTCCAGTGATCTGGAGACGTTTGACACAGCACTGGTATCTTTTATTTTTATTTCCCTTTTTGTGTTGTGTGGCAGGGATCACCTATCATCAGGACAGGTAACCTTTAGGCAAAATTATAGACCTTGTCTGTCAGGAAATTTATAGTAAGTAGGTTGACTTGGAGAACTATGTGAAAGCAGTTTATTTGTGAAGTCATTGCCCTAAATGTACTTTGTGCCTAGTTGTCTTATTTGCAAGTATGCCATATCTATGCTTTGTTTATTTATGTGACTCTTAGCTGTACTACTTGAGATTTTGTACTGCATTGGTAACGGTTTTAAGTGAATAGAATCAGGAGCTGAAGGCCAGCAGAATTAAGGGTTGAGATCTTGTGTACTTTGAACTTTCTACTTTGGTTGTCTTCTATTATGGTTACTTCGTGGGGCTGTTCTTGTTAGATACTGATTGGTACAACTGAACTGTCTAGTATAAACAGAAAGAAGTGGAGAGTAGGTATTGACGGTAATGTCGATTGGCTTGTGGGGTTATGCAATGTTCAATTCCAAGGCCACTTCATTTTACTATATCTGACAATGATTTGGATATAGCCAAGAGAGCATTGTTGAAGTTTGCAGGTGATATCAAGATAAAAGGTGTAATTAATTGTTTCAACAGAGACTAGATAAATCGGATCTAATTAGACATTTTTGTCGAGAATTTAAGTATAAGGGGCCACATTTACAAAGCTACAAAAAAAAACCTGAAGTTATCTATTCAGGCCTCTGAGCCTGGCACGCCATTCAACAAGATCATGGCTGATCTGTTAGCATTTTGAATTCCACGTTCCCATTCAACCCGATTTTAGCTTCGATTTCCTTGCCGGACAAGAATCTGTTTATCTCAGCCTTAAAAGTATACAGTGGTGCCTCCAATGCCTTCTGAGGCACAGTTCCAAACTTGCACAAAACTCAGAGGGGGAAAAAAATTGCTTACCTCTCCTAAAAAGGTGACCCCTAATTTTAAAACCATACCCTTAGTCCTGGACTGATCCCACAAAAGGAAACATTCTTTCCAAATCCACCTTGTCAATGTCATTCAGGATCTTGGCACACGTCAATTGAGATGCCCTTCAGACTTCTAAATTCCAATGGAAACAGCCCAGTCTGTCCACCATATCCTCAAATACAGTCTGCTCATTCTGGGAATCAGTCTAGTAAACCTTCCTCAATGCATGCACATGCTTCCTGAAATAAGGAGACCAAAACTGTACACAGTATTTAAGATGCGATCTGACCAACTCCTTGTAGAACTGAAGTATAACACCCTCACTTTTACATTTGATTCCCTTCGTATAAAGGATAGCATCCACTTAGTTATCTTGATTACTTGTTGTACCTGAATACTAACTTGTCTGATTTTTGTGCCAGACCATTTAAATCCCTCAGCACCTCAGAATTCTGCAGTCATTCTCCATTTATGTACTGCTCTCTCGTTTAAAAGTTATTTTTGTCAGTGAATCAATTCACATTTTCCACTATGTACTCTGTCTACCAGATTTTTGCCTGTTCCCTCACAGTTCCCACTTTCACCAGTACTGATGCCATTGGCCCATGAACTGGAACCCATTTGCACACTCGTCTTAAGCCACATATTCAGCTCTTTAAGTTTTACTTACTCTATGCCAATTTGCACAGGGCTCAAGAAGCAGTTTAAAGTTTATAACCTTTGTGATTCTTCTTTTTACTTTGATACTTAATTTCTCATACAGTGTATGCAGAACCTCATTCATAGTTATGTCTATTTTGCTAGTACATACATGGATCTTCCCCTTCCCACTGCAAGTTATTTTACAGTCCTGAGCAGATTTGACACTACTAGCACCAGCTGGGCACCAGAGTGGTTGAATTCTTGGTCTCTGCAGGGAATGGTGCCTGTCTACTGTGACATTTCGGTTGCTCCCTCAACTTGAATGGCTGACCATGAAGCTATGATCAGTTTGCTCTTCCACCCTGCAGGGCCTGCTCTCTAACAGACGGGCTGAGAGAACCTCATACCTATTGGACCCTTGCAGAGGCTGATACTCCTAATCTCTGGATCCCCTTGCTTGCTTCACTCATAGTTACATCCTCCTGTCTCTAATCACTGATCAAATCAGAAGACCCTATCCTAAGTGGTGGGGCTTGCCTCCTAATACAAAGATCTGGTAACTTTCCCCTCCCTGATGCATCACTCTGCATGTTATGAGCCTCCAGCTCATAATATGTGAGCCAAAGGTACTCAAATTTAAAGCACTTACAGCAGGCATGGTCACGCTGGATCATGGTGGTATCCAGGCACTTCCACATGCCTTGATACAGCACCTGTGCTGCCATCGTTAATGCGTTTCGATTATTTCATTATATTATTTACATGTTTTTCATACATTTTATTAACTTTTTACCATAAATTTATATACTATGATAAAATAGAAATGACCATAATCACTTACCAGAGATTCACTAACTTCTCTGCAGTAGAGCTAGAGCCAATACCAATCACCTTTAACCATACAATTCAGCAATCAATTTCTAAATTAACAACAAGAAATGGATAAACTTTCACAGACAATAATCCAGGAAAAAATAGCTTTCACTTTGAAAAGTATGCATTAATGACGAATTTCTTTTATTTAAAGGCAAATTAGGATTCTTTGAAATAAGATGGTGAATGTGGATAGAACATTTTGTGTATATCGTCATTCAGCGTGTTTGCTAAAATGCCATCTATTAAATTTAGCCAAATGAAACCCATGGGGATTAAAGGAACAGTGACTGTAACAATGAATGGTTATTTCTTGTTTTGGAGTAAAAGTATTCAGTGTCAATCCTTGGAGATGGGAGTTAAGTTTTGAGACTGTATTCCGTTTAATATACAGTCATGATCTAGATTTGGATATCAAGGCCATCATTTCTAAGTTTGCAGGTGACGTGCAAGTTAGAAATGTAGAATTTGGATGATAGTGTCAAGAGGACAGAGAAAGACTGATCAAATATGCAGGTGCAACACAGATAATACTTTTCACGGAAAAGTGAAAAGAATTAGTAGGCAGAAGGACAGGCAATATATAATATGGGGTATTATTTTAAAAGTGAAACAGGAACAGACTGCAAAAGCCAGGAAATTTTACCAAGCCTTTGTAAAACGCTGGTTAGGCTTGAGCTACAGTTTTGTGACCAATTCTGGGCACCACATTTCATGAAGAATGCCAAAGCCTTGAAGAGATTTGTTAGAATAGTATCAGGTGTGAGAGACTTGAGGTATCAGGCGGGACTGGAAAAACTCGAATCTCTCTAATTGCAAAGAGGATTTGCAGAAGATGTAGTACAAATTAAAGCTGATAATGAATGATGTACAAAATGGCTTAACAAGTGAGACTTTATGGGTTGAGCTTAGGAATAAAAAAGGGGCAGTCAAACTACTAGGAATATACTACACATCCCAAGATTGTAGGAGGGAGATAGAAGAACATATGTAGACAAATTTCTCCCTGTAGAAACAAGGGGGCAATAATAGTAGGAGACTTTAACTATCCTAATAGCAACTAGGTTCCAAACAATATAAGGGGTATTGAGGAT